GGCGGGGCGGCGGCTGTTTGGGGGGGGGGGGGGCCGCCCCCGCCACAGTGCCTCATTGAGTAATGTGCTTACCCTGTCCTTGGTCTTTATGCCTGCTTTATGCAGTTACATCTTGGTAGACTTCTGACATCCCAGTTGCTACAGCCATCCTTCATGACCACATTTACTGTACTTTTAATCTCTCTATACCTAGACAAACTGACCCAGTCTAAGGAGCATTTGCTATCTCCATTTTTGGAAGGATCCTAATTGCTTCTCATTCCCCACCCCATTTAAATACAGTACAAAACTCACTTTGTATGCTATTTACACTTGATAAGATGTCAACCAGATTGTCAATTTGGGTGATTTGATCAGATGACTTACTATCAAATGGAAAGGATATGATCTAAATTCCACACGAGTGCTTATCAATTGTTTTCTGCCAACATTTTTACTGCAATATTATTGGATTTCTTTTGAACTGCAACATGTTTTAAGAGATTCATTTGGATTTTCACCAGTGTTACATGGTAGTAAGACTCTTTTCCTCTAAACAAGTGTGTATTATGTCCTACAGCATCAACCCTTGAATATTACTTGTCAATGTAAGAGAGTGAACTAAGTGCATTTGTTTTCTCCACAGTAATTAAAACAAGTATTTTACATGTCAGAGAATCCAACTGTATTTTATTCAGTTGAGCTACTGGCTGGTTAAGATATTAATTTAGAGGGTTTTTATTTTACTTATTCCTAGATACAGGTAAGTGTTTCAATTCCAAATGACAAAGAAGAGTTGGCTTAAAAAAATCTTTATTTTTTTCCATCTTAACTGCAGATTCAAATTAGTAAATACTAGAGTTTAAGATGATTAAAATACTGAAACAACTATTTGGCAGACAAACTGTCACTCCATACAATAATACTGAATACAAATTTTATCCAGGAATGAGTTTTACAAGAAATACGTAGGAAAATACTTTGAAATCTTGTATCAACTGTCCGTAACTGCTATAGTAATGAGAATTAGTAATTGACTAATATAAAAGGCAAGTATGAAAAGGTGATGAATACGAATACAATATTCTTTTATCATGAAGGCACTTTCACCTAAAAAGGAAGCTATATGAAAAGGAGAGCTCTTGGGCTACATGTGCAACAGAAAGTTTATTTAAGCGATGCAATTCTAGCTACATGATTCCAGCTTTACCCTGTGAGGGATCAACAGGAGAAACTCTCCTGTTGACTTCCCTTAATATATTCCACAAGAAGAGAACAACAGGGTCTACAGGAAAGTGATCTGTGGTTGGTTTGGCTGGCCTTAACTAGACCTGCTATATTGGCAGCTAGTTGATTGATCTCAGAGCATCAAGCTAGGCTGTAGTGTAGATGTAGCTTTGGACTAGACCCGTGCTTCTAATACAAGCCATTTACACCACTGCAGTGGTGTAAAACCATAGAACCATCTTAACTAGCTAATTGAGGCTTTTCAAGAAACAAAGGTAGAAGACAGCAATTTTCTGCCTGCAACTCTGTGACAAAGGCATTGATAGGCAAGGCAGTATAGCAGGGCAACTTCTGTATTTTGCTTTGCAGCAACACAACAGCTCTTGGGTTGAGGACCGCCTGGCCTAAGTTGCACTAGTAGCTGCATTACAACCTGGCCCCAAGATTGGGTGAAATTAAGCTAGTACACAGATACAGCTCAGCTAGATCTAAGAGTGAGGATCCCTGTGTGCATTATCTCTCATTAAATATTACAGTATATCCCTTTGAATGCAATAGACAAAAATGAAGCTTGACTAAAATTAAATAGAACATATTAAAGTGTTCAATAAAAGTCTACTGAAATGTTTGCTTTTCATTTTCAGTACACTTAGTTACAATCTTCAAGACTGACTTACTGTTCAAGTAATAAATAGCCAAACAGAATTAAATGTTGCTGCCAATTTCTTGCTGCTCTGTTGTCATTTTAATGGATGACCTCAGTGAAATCTCGTAATTAACACACAAACTGTTTAGCAAAGAAAGGCCTTTCTTGTTACTGGAAAATAAAAACAACTTGGAACAGGTCTCAAAGTTATCTCTCTTCCTTTGTAGCTTCCAATTCATCCTCTTCGTCCTCTTCCTCGTCCTCCTCCTCATCTTCCTCCTCATCTTTTCTTAGCCGACTGTTAGAAATTTGCTATGAACAGAATCAAACAAGTCATACTTCTGAATGACTTTGGGGGGGAAAAAATCTCCCTATCCCAAATTCATGCAGTTTTAGGATTGAACTGGCTGTATTCAAAGAAATATCAATCTGTTTCCTGACGGGAATATAATACCATACATAAGACAATACATAATGTAAACTTCAGCTAGTTAACTGCAGAGAATGATTTTAAAATGTTGCTCATATGATAACAGTACCAGTAAAAGAAAAATTTACACTTATGAGAAAGCAGCAGTCCAAAACACCTAGATGGGTCATATCTACACTATGGCTGCTACAGCAATATGACTATAGGTGCCGTAGCTATGAAGTGCAGATTCTTCCATAGGAACTCCACTTGTTTGAAGGAACCATTCTTCCATCAACCTAATAATAAAGGATGACTCTGACTCCCTTTGTCCTGTAACTGTCAACCTAGCTGTTAAGCATAAACTAGTCTGTGGGAAATCCAAATTTGGTTCCTTGATATAGTGAGCCAGCCACGCAGCAAACACTCTGGAGGTCTTGTAAGAATTAAACAGACTCCAACCTCTTCAGTTAGCAAGAATCAGCAATGACAGGCTCCAGAGTAACATTAAAGTCTTTTCCTTGAGAGGATTACAACAAGGTACGGTCTCAAGAGCATGATTGGGTAAGCCTTCCTTCTAGATTTTTCAAATTCATAGTTGTGGAGTTTCTGCAACCTCCCTTTTTGCACAAATTTTGGAACTCTTCTCACCCACAGTTTTCCATGCATGTATGATGTATTTCAGACCCTGCCCTCCCAGCATTAAGCTCTGTCTATACTTGCAAATTTAAAGCATATGTGGGGGCAGTGCAGTCAGGTCAAGAGCACTAGAAGAGGGCTCTCCCAGGGCATGTCTACACTAGGGGAAAAAGTAAAATTCAGATATGAAACTTCAGTATATTAATTGCATAGCTGAAGTACCTTAACTCAGCTTTTGGCGCCATCTACATTGCAGGAACTCGAAAGGAAAACACTCTCCCTTCGACTTCCCTTACTCCTCGTGAAAGCAGGACTACCAGTATAGACCCTCTCAGTTCGATTTAGCTGTCTTCACTAGAAGATTGACAGCGGCAGCTTCGACCTTCCTCTGTAGGGTAGGTGTATCCCCAAGTCCTCTACCTCCATAAGTGGAATAGGTAAGTGCACTGGGAGTGTGGCTCCCAGTACTATAGCTTGGTTTACACTGGTGCTTTACAGCTCTGTAACTTTGTACTCCAAGGAATGACTTTTCACACCCCTGAGCCAGAAAGTTGAAACACAGTAAAGTATCATTGTAGACACAGTTATCTTGGAAGGATGAAATAAATGTCCTAACCATAACCTGCATAGAAGGCGGCTGCTGTCCAATTCTATTCTAGCTTCAGACAACCTGTACTGTCCAGTCCCCCCTTGCTCCTGTCATAAATGTTAACGGTGATTCACACTCTTACAGAAGCTGGAATCAGGCCTATAGTTAAACATACAAAGGGTGTTGGTCTGCCTGAAAATGGGGAAAAAAACCCACAACCCAAAACAGGCGCTGGTGGAGTAACAAGCAATGCAAACATTAAATCTGGTTATTTCTCTCCCTGGTTCACTTTTCTGAAAAGGTTTTCGTTCCAAGTGTCCTTTGAAACCTTTTTTTTTTAAATAACCTAGCTCCATTAACTGCGTCTTGTCTCTTATCAGATAATGTTGGCAGGTCTAGACCTGATCTGTGCAGATTCAACCCACAAATCCCATCTATTTTTAAGCACTAGATGAATATGTTCTTGACTGAGTAAACTGGCATTTCTTAAAAGTTACTTTGGATAGATTTGGTTTAGGCCCTAAATTTAAAAAATGGGATTAACTTCCAATATTGCTACCCATATACTATTGAGTGAATGGAAAATTATCAGAAACATTCCTCATTTTTAGAGGCACAAGACAAGAATGCCCCATATCACCTTTTTGCTACAGCAATGTAATCACTTGCCCAATCACTCATATAATGTTAACAGAAATGGAATTACAATAGGGAACACATATCACCCTTGTGTGCAGATGTCAAGGCATGTATTACAAATCCAGCTCTCCACTACTAATTGCAAGAAGAAATCTTTGGCAAAAACTCAGGATTTAAAATAACCAGGTCAGAGGGGCTACATGTAGGTGAGGGCTCTGATTTATAGATTATAAAAGAAATATAAATATAAATGAGTAACTACATTAAAATAACTGGGAATATACATTTCTAAATGAGGGTAAGATTTATAATACTCTTAATTTTGCTCCTTTGAGTAAAAAAAAAAAAAAAGACATCTAGAAAACAAACTTTGTATTTTTACCGTAATTAAGCAAATGAAAGTTGTTAAAATGAATATCTTAATTTTCCAAAGGTTCCCAGTTTTAGTCCCAGAAAGTCTTGTAGACCAATGGCAACCACTAATAAATTCATTTGCAGAAATAATCCCAGATTTAAGCAATCTATTATAAAGGTCAGGATACAAGGTAGAATTGGCTTTATAACCACACTATTAAAAAAACAAGAGAAGTGTGGAAGGGTTTATTTAGAAAACTAAAGCTAAATCCATATCCATAGTAAACGACCTAGAAATTAACACCATTAAAAAAAGCCAGGAAGTTTTGACATTTGGGAACTTACAGGTATATCAAAATTCAGCTGTTTGGAAAAAAATATATTTAGATCACCTAGTGAAATATGACTCATGATACACCAAATTCCAGGTTTTCAACATACGCTATTAAGACTATTAAGACATTTTTCAACCCATCCCACAAAAAATGTGTTGGAAACTGAAGAACTACTCACTACATACATGAAACACAAAGATAGATGCTCCGAAATATCCTGTATAATAGACATTTTATGATTTAATCTGTGACCCGGTTTCTCCATTGGTAAAATGGGAAAACAACATCTTCCAGCAGTATTGTGAAGGTTAATAAATAAGTCAAACAGTATGCAACTGCTAATGTAATTATCATTTGGTTTTAACGGACCTTGCTTGTTAAAATTACAGTGAGATATTTGTCTTGCACAAAACAGAATAAAGCCAAAGATTATTCTTAAACATAAAATTCTGAAAGCCACTCTGTGCAGTAAGCCAGGTTTATGAAACAGGTCAGATTTCAACCAAGATCTCCAACTAAATCTCAAATATACAAAAATCTGACATAACCTTAACACTGAATTAAATGTCTAATAAAGGGGGATGGGTTCTGGAGTGGCTAGGGCAGTGTTTCTCAACTTTATTAAAGTACCCTTTTTTCAAAAATAAAATAAGTACCCCCCAGTACCTACAGTTTTCAGATGCACACATTTTTTTTCTACCATTGCAACACATTTGTTTAAACAGCTTAACTGTAGCCCGGTGGGCGATGACATTTTTAGGTAAAAAAAGTACAAAAATAATAAAACACTGTAAAACTTAAATTCAGTTCTCTCCTAATTTCAGTTGTGTAGAGGTAACTCCCCTCTCCCCCCAGACTTCTCTTGAGTACCCTTAAGGGTACTCCTACCACTGGTTGAGAAACACTCGCATAAGGGATAGGGCAACGGTGGGCAAAAGAGCCTCCGTGGGCCGAATCCAACCCGCGGAGGCCCTGCTGCTGCCCCCGCCCCCAAGCCAGTTAGGGTCTGGATGCAGGGGAACACTGCAAAGCCTCCTCCTGCCCTGCCAGGAGTTCGTGGTGGAGAGCGAAGGAGGCTTCACAAGCTCACCCACTCCCAGGCCAATCAGGGGCACTTTTTGCGGCACTTCCTGCACTCCCCTACCCCCAGGTCGATTGTTCTGGGTGTGGGAGAGCATGCCAAGCCTCTTGGGGCCTCGGTGCCTAGTGGGAATGTGGGGCAAAGGGGCTCTCCCACCCCCAGACCATGATTGGTCTGGGGTACCCCTGCCCCCTCCCCTTTAGGCCCCGTCTCTTCCGGGGTGGCCCGGGCCTACTTCAAAAATTTTTGAAGTAGCCCCCCTGGGCAAAAATTATTGCCCACCCCTGGGATAGGGCATTTGCCTAAGGAGGACAGGGTGGTGGGTTCAGGCTCTGGTTAGACTAACAAAATGTATAGCTAACAACTCCTCCAGAAACAGTAATTAAGCATCACCGATTTAATGTATTCAGAACATTAGCTGTACTGTCTCTGTAAATACAGCAGAGGGATATAAAACAGAAAATATTTAGTATACAGCTGTGTTAATACTGTGCATATCTGAGGGTTAACTACAATTTAGTGAAATTTTTCATGATTTTTGAAAGTGTAAATATAGGAGAGCTTGAAATATCTAGAATGAGATTTAACTAGCAATTGTAATACTTTGGAGTTAATTAGCAATTTAGCAGAGTTGCTGACTCGAGTCCCACGACTTGAACTCGAGTCTGACTTAAGTTGCCAAGGTGACTCGACTTGAGACTCAACTTGGGTTCATTGTTTATGACTTGAGACTTGCTAATTTTGTTAAATCGACTTGGTGAATTTCTCACAACCTGCAATAATTTTCTTTGTAAGATATCTTTTCATCTTACTCTTTTTTGCCCTACTATGGTATATTTTTAGACATATTATTTCTTCCAGTGTTGTCAAGAATTTTTGCTTCTGCCATACCTCCAATTATTTGCATGACTTCACTTCTTTAATTCTTCATTGTCATCTCCCTCTTCATTTTTTTAAAATTTATTGGACACATTTTATAATGTAATATAAAAAGCTTCCTATTCTATCCATACTTGATCATTTTATTCATTATGAATTATCTATCCTTCAGTGGAATGCATTCTTGCTGCAATCATTAATACTGACAAGTCTTACTCAATTTCTGAATCTTATTCTTATACATTTACCTTTCCTAAAAAGTCACTGCCACAAAGCTAGCTCTTCTAAAATGAAGTAAATATTTTTAAATGTTTCTACAGAATTCTCCTCTACATTTTATACTTGATAATGGACAGTTTTCATTTCCTACAAAATCATTTCACAAACTTAGTCATTCTCAAATTAAGAGGAGAAAAAAAGTTTCATCTATTTTATTCTTCTATCATCCAATAGTTTATTTTTTATATTAGTTTTTAGTATTTACTATTGTATGCAAATCTTAGTATTAAGAAGGCTATAATTTCCTAGACACAAAATACAAAACAAAAATGTTCACTGAACATATCTGGAGTGAATTCTTCCCCATGTTCAGATAGCATACTTTGATATAGGCCCATTAAAGCCAGTGGAACTATGACAATTTACATCACTTTTGAATAAGCTCCTGCAATACTGTCTCTATTTTAATACATCTTCTGGAATTAATCTGGAATCTAATATTCATGTTTTCTATCTTACCTGTATCATCCCAGATGAAAATTTTGATGAGCCAGTTCTTTGAAGGGGAGACTTTGAGTTTGCACGGACTATGTCTAAACGAGATTGATAGTCTGGTGGATATAGGGAACTTCGAAAAACCTGTTCAAAGAAAAATGGCAGTAACTATAGTGCCATGATATAAATGCCACGCTGACAGCCAATATTCCCTCCAATTTTTTCTAATATGTAGAATATATTTTATGCATTGGGGCAGTGTTTCTTAAACTTTTTAAGACCGAGGAACACCAAACAATATCTTTTTTATGGGGGAACGCCAAGGATTTTTTTGTTCAGGGAAATAAAAAGCCCCCAGGGAAAAGTTGAGCCAAAAAAAAAAAAATTGCCCCTTTAAGGGTGGCCATTCCCCAGGGAAATGTTGTTGACTAAAAAAATAAATAAAATTTAAAAAAATAAAAAAAAGGTATGTCCCTTTAAGGATGGCCATTTTGAATTCTGTTTAAAATGTAAAAAAATTTAAAAAAAGGCATGTCCCTTTAAGGATGGCCATTTTGAATTCTGTTCTCTCCGTGGCGCACACTTTAAGAAACACTGCACTGGGGCATGTGTGGATGTGCACCACTAGTAGAAACACATGCTGGCAGCTGTGGGCACTAGGTTAATCAACTAGGAAGCACCTGAATCTCTCCAGGGTTGCTGCCCAAGAGCACAGCTTTCAGAAAACCCTGCTAACAGCTCAAGAGACTTAAGCAATGAGGAGTCCTGTGGCACCTTATAGACTAACTGAAGTGTAGGAGCATAAGCTTTCGTGGGCAAAGACCCACTTCGTCAGATACATGTAGTGGAAATTTCCAGAGGCAGGAATAAATATGCAGGCCAGGATCAGGCTGGAGATGACGAGGTGGATCCAATCAAGGAGGATGAGGCCCACTTCTAGCAGCTGATCTGGAGGTGTGAATTCCAAGAGAGCTGGACAATGATCCCTCGCTCTCACAGGCCTTGGGAGGTAGGCCGGTCCTTGCCCACAGACAACCCGCCAACCTGAAGCATATTCTCACCAGCAACTACACACCGCACCATAATAACTCGAACTCAGGAACCAATCCTTGCAACAAACCTCGGTGCCAACTCTGCCCACATATATACACCAGCAACACCATCACAGGACCTAACCAGATCAGCCATACTGTCACTGGTACATTCTCCTGCACATCCACCAACGTAATATATGCCATCATGTGCCAACAATGCCCCACTGCTATATACATCGGCCAAACAGGACAGTCCCTACGTAAAAGAATCAATGGACACAAATCTGATATTAGGAATGGCAACATACAAAAACCTGTAGGGGAACACTTCAATCTTCCTGGACACACAATTGCAGATCTAAAAGTAGCTATCCTGCAGCAAAAAAACTTCAGGACCAGACTTCAAAGAGAAACTGCTGAGCTACAGTTCATCTTTAAGTTTGACACAATCAACTCTGGATTAAACAAAGACTGTGAATGGCTTGCTAACTACAAAAGCAGCTTCTATTCTCTTGGAATTCACACCTCCAGATCAGCTGCTAGAAGTGGGCCTCATCCTCCTTGATTGGATCCACCTGGTCATCTCCAGCCTGATCCTGGCCTGCATATTTATTCCTGCCTCTGGAAATTTCCACTACATGCATCTGACGAAGTGGGTCTTTGCCCACGAAAGCTTATGCTCCTACACTTCAGTTAGTCTATAAGGTGCCACAGGACTCCTCATTGCTTTTGCAGATTCAGACTAACACGGCTACCCCTCTGATACAAGAGACTTAAGTTCTCTAACACAAGTACAGCATCAGAGAGTGACAATACATTCTTACCCTCCAACCTTGACTTAAAAACTAACTCTGGAATGAAGAAAAAAAATCAGTCTACACTTAGTATGCTCTAAAATTAATGCTGTTCAATGTTATTTTCTGAAGTTTTTTCTATGAATTATAAATAAGTTGATCAAGTACACAGTATTGATATGTTCAGACTTCTGAAAGGTGTTTGACTTGGTACCACATGATATTTTAATTGAGAAACTAGAATCATACAAAGTAAACATAGCACACATTAAATGAATTAAAAAGTGACTAAATGATAGGGGGTCGCAACATTATAAGTAGATAGTCATCAAGCATTTGTACTGAGGTCCTACAGATAGCAATTCTTGGGCCTACATTTTTTTCAATGATCTTGAGAAAAATAAAATTACTGATAAAGTTAGCAGAAAACTCATCACAAGGCAGTCCTAAATAATGAAGAGGACAGCTCACTCATACAGACTCATCTAAGGTGGGTGCAAGCAAACAATATTTTCATTTCATTACATTTGAATACAGCCAAATGTAAGATCATACTATATAGACACAAAAAGGTAGGCTATGCTTACAGACAGTCCTACTGGATAGTCATATGAACATGAGCTCCCACTAATGCTGAAGCTAGAAGGGCTAACAACATCTCTGGAGTGGGATATCTAATAGGAGTAGGGAAGTTATATTACCTCTATTTGACAATGGTGCAACTGCTACTGGAATACTGTTGAAAAATTGAAGAAGGTTCAGAAAAGAACCATGAGTATGATTAAAGGATGGGGAAAATGTGCCTTTTAATGGCACACTCAAGAAGCATAATCTACTTATCTTATAAAATAGAGGGCTATGGGATGATTTAATTATAGTCTAACAAGTACCTACATAGGTAACAAATACTTAAATAATGGGCTCTTCAATCTAGCAGACAAAGGTATAACAAAATCCAATGGCTGGAAATTTAATCTAAACAAATTGAGAATAGAAATAAAGAGCACATTTTTAACAGAGAGTGTAATTAACTACTGAAACAATTTACCAAGCTTTGTGGTGGATTCTTTATCAATGGATAATCTGGATTGGATGTTTTTCTAAAAGAAATGCTCTAACATTCAATCACAGTTATTTGACATAAAGCAGGATCTAAGAAAGTCCTAATGACTTTGTTACTCGAGATTAGATGAAATAATAACAATGGTTTAAAAATCAGTATATGAATTTCTACCCACTTTAAAGCTCCTTTACACAGTTGTAGTAGTGTAAAAGATGCCTTAGTTAAATGAAAATCGGTCCTTTCTTTTTTATTATTATTTACTTACAAGGCCACGTTGCACACTAGATCTACAAATGTTGGCTAAGTTAGAAAATTAATGTTGATTGTTCTTACCTCTAAATCTTCATTCTCCTCAATATTGTGAATATTTTGGTAGGCAGCAGTGTAAATCTCTAAAGCTTTTCCATGGAATAGCATTTCAATAGTTATAAATTCAGAAAATATGCTCTAAAATTGAGAGAGAGGTTGTATTTGTATGCAGCTATATTATATGACAAAAGGACACTGCGGCTTCCAACACAAACTAGCACACTTGTATCATTAATATCCTATGAAAAACAGCAATACAGTTCAATGCATTTTTAAGTTTAACTTCAATTCTAGTTATTAACTCCTAAGTCTGTTGTCAGCTTGGCAAACACTATCTATCCTGTTCCCACTTAATATACCATTTTAATTCCTAGCAAACAGTTGACTAGTGACATATAAACAGGCACTGAAGAAGAAAATGAGAATTTTCTCACTAACTAAAACCTGCCTATGACAACTCTCACTAGCAGTGTTAGATTTTCAAACAGATATAGTGTTGTCTCATTTATACAGTCCCTCTCCGTTAAATGTTGCATTTTATTTCCTTAAAAATACTCTGTCAATTGCAATTTAATGACAATAATCTCCTGAAAACTTAAAATTGGTTAGGAAGAATCTTTTTATTTTACTATCTATATAGATTTTTGTTAACACATACCAGAAAACCCTGCCTTTTCTCGAATATAATTCACCACTCTCTCCAAAACTACTGAAATGACTCTTATCCATGTTACTATATATATATGTTTTATTTTGTCTTCCTCCCCTCCTTTTTTTCCTGTTTGGGCTACTTATTTAATTTTCAAATTAAAAAGAAGTAGCCCAGTTCAGTAACTTTATAGTAAAGCTGAGATGGCATTTTTAATTCCTTTTCAGTCATTTATATCCTTTTGGGTTTAAGTCTTTTATGTTTATTTTCTCAGATAAGAGGGAAATGAAGGCCTTATACACTTAATCAGAAAACACTTCTTATAATAGTAGCCGTTTTAATTCCAATAACCTAGTCAAATTCCAAGTTGAGTAGTTATATTCTGCTTCTGATAGCTGTTGCTCAGTACTGCCACTTCGTTCCACCCACAAATGCAACTATCTACTGGAGGGAATACGGCAGCTGTTTAACAGTACAGCGAGACACTAGAGGCACACCTACACAGCAGGGCAAAAGCTGAATTAAGCTATGCAACTTCAGCTACATCAATTGTGTAGCTTAAGTCAAAATAGCTTAACTCTGCTTTTGGCGCTGTCTACACAGCAGGAAGTCGAAGAAAGAACACTCTTCCTTCAACTATCCTTATTCCTTGTGAAATGAAGATTACAGGAGTCGGAGTAAGAAGTCCTCCAGCTCACCATTATTTCAAAATAATTGCTTAATACTCTTCTTTATTTCAGAATAACGTCAGTAGACATAGCCTAAATGATATTCAGGAAACATTTAACAGTGGATCCAAATGAAATGAAGAATAACTAGTTAATTTTTATATGTTATTATTTGGGTATTGAAATAGTTGTGAAAAATCACCATATTTGCACCAATTTATATTTGTGCACAGTTTACCTGAACTGGAGGTAAGCCTAGCTTTGCCAAACAAACAGCAGCTAAAATCATTTTGACAAAATGTGATGCTTTAAACTGAAATGTAAACTATATACATTTGCATGCATACCTTTATGTCCTTTATTTTCTGTTTTTCAAAATTGTCAATGGTCTCCTCCAACTGCCGACTTGTTCGAGTTGCATCCATCGAAGCTCTCTGTAGATCACTTTCAGCCTTATAAAAATAACCAAAGAGAGATTTTTTCCCCCTTAAATTAATATTTAAAAGGTTATGCACTGTGCTTTACTTTGGAAACCTTTAGACTGCCCTGACTGTGCAAGTTACAGTAATTTAGATTTTTTTGAGCGTTGGACAATAATATCACTTACACTGATTTACAGCCCTTTAGAAGAATTCTCAAAGATTTGTACAAGAATCAAAGTCAAATTTAGAAAACGTGAACAGTAATTCCTGATTTTAAAAAGTACACTATGCAAGTGAGTCTCTAAAAGCCTTTTTAAACTGGGCCAATGACTTTATATATACACACCTTATGGTGGTGAATTTTCTTGGTAAAAGAAAAACATCTGGTTCTGATATGAGTAAAAATTCTTATGGACTTATCTCTATATTGTAAGGTACTATACACTACACTAATTTTGTGTGCATTAGACAAAGTATCAGTGTCTTCATTTTGGATACTTATTCCCACAAATAACATTTAAAATTAAAGAAAACCACTACATTATTAAACAATGTTAGCATATTCAGTCTCATTCTGGGGTTTAATCTATGTATAAACAGTATATACTATTTAATTTGTAATGTGAATAGGGTATTGTGTTAGTGTACAAAGCAATTTTAGATATCTCAGGTTCAAGCTGCAGTTAAGTAACAGTACTTATTTTGACTTCAGCTTAACTCAATATTTGATTAATAATGTATGTTAAATTTTCTCCATATAGGCCAAAAACCATTTCTAGAAGAGCATATCCTTGGATAATTTAAGCACAAATTGCAAGAAATATTGTATTTGTTGCCAGTTACAGTATATCTACAAGCCTTGCATAGATATACAATACTATTGAAACACAGAATTTGTTGTGTGATCCTGAAACTAATCTGCAGATATAGATCTGTATGCCCTCACAGAGTCCTACTGAATTTAATGGGAGTTGTACAAATGCAAGGGTCCACATCCAAGGGCTTATAGATTCATTTGCAAGACTGTAATATTTTGAATAGAAACAACTTGAAACTAAGGCTACTGAGTGCCCTTGCCAAATGTGGTAGCTTTAGAGTCATATTTAGCTCTTTTAAAAAATATTCTTTCCTCCTGTCAAAACAGAAAAACAAGTGGAAAACAGTAAAAATGAACACGTTGTCAAATGTAAAACCAAGACAAGGTGATAAAACAAACTAATTTATAGTTTTATACTATTCTTACGTATTCCTTTAACTATATTAAGTAAAAAATTAAGCATACATTTGTTATGTTAACTGTTAACTTTCACTTCTATTGCTACCTTGGTAACTTAGACACATCAGAAAAAGGTAAAGTGCCTTCTATTGTATATTCCTGAAGTCAACTCCATATCCTGATATACTCTGAATGCTGCTTTGAAAATGATATTGTTATGAAAGAAACAGCAACTCTGAGGACAAACAGGGTCAATTTTAAGGATGGAAGAGCACAAGGGTCAGCTTGGGTGCTATTTTACATAAGCGCCATATTGCTGTGTCACGTGGCTATTTCTTGATTGTGTTTTGTCCAGCTTTCCCACACCCCAATCCAATCTGCAGCCTCTACTGTGGGTTTTTGGTTTTTTTGCTTGAAAAATGGGAGATGTTGAAAATGTAAGCTGCCTAGGCCAGCAAAACAGCTAGGCCAGCTCCCATTTACAATGATCTATGGAATTAGTAATAAGCAAACATACACCATCTCCATCTCTCCATTTAGGCCCCAATTCAACAAAGTTCTCAGCACTATATTAATTTTAAGTATAAATAACACCCTACCTGCTCAGCAAAGCATTAAGCCTACATATTTTCCTAAATCTTCCAATAATGCACTGCAATAGATAGTTTTTGGCATATTATATTTGTCTGGTACAGTTTTGTCACTACTGATATTTAGTAAGTAGCAGATATTGCAATGTTAATTATATTACTGTCATGATAATAGACTGCTAATCTTGATCTGCTTTTAATAGATAGGTCCACATATTTTATGTATTAGTTTCTTAGGAAAAACAGTATGTTGTAATACAATAAAATACTAAAGCATGCTAATTAAAAGATTTTCTTCTGATATTTCCTCTTCAGAAACACAGCACACACCTGTGACTGAAATTATTAATAAAGGAAAATATTTTTTATGAAATTGAAAATAAAATATTTATAGTACAACTTATGTAATCTTGGGTAAAATATCAATCAATATGCTTACATAGAAATTATTTTTGTCTACAATGTCTGCCTTTCCTATATTGTGTGTATTTATGCATGAAATATTTGCTACAGCAAAAATATACAGAAGCATTGAATATTTCCTTTGGGAGCTTGTCAGAAATGTGCTATAGCAGAAACAGTTGCAAACTTCAGTATTATTTATTATCTATTAGAATATAGAAATGAATATTATTCTGCAGGTAGTCAGCAGTTGTTTAGAGGGGAGACAAGTTTTTTCAGTGTATTCCACTAATGATTGTGCAGCAGTACACTAGTTAGTTAAAAATGAGTTAGGGTAACTCATCTGCTAGAAAAAATTAATTGTTACCACATGTTTGGCATATATCCGGTGGTCATCATCAGGGTAGATAGCTGCTGGAAGTGGTACAATATTTGTATATCATGTAATATTTAATTATCAGAATCAATCTGAATAATCAAATCACAAAGGGCAAAAACTCAAAATAAAAGTATGTCATTATTTGTAGAAGAGGTTGATTTGAGAAAAGTCTACTATTTTCATGAAGTTATACAGATAAGACGACTCTGAACATTTCTGATATCTGCTTGGCTGCAGACAGAAGTCTGAAGTACACATCATATTTGTGTAATTATCTTATTGAATGCAACACATATAAACTACTTATAAAAGGTAATGACTTTTAGAAGAGCTGTAGAATGTCTTCTATGAACATATGTGAATAATGAAGAATAGATTGATAACCCTCCATATAATTACAGGCTACTGAATATCTAGTACAACAACTCAAAAAAAAAAAAAACCACAATAATTTTCAGATAGTTGAAACATTCCTAATTCTCCCTTAGAATCTGTTTGAAATGTTTGATATTTTGTTGTCACACTGAGCACTGTCACAATTCCATCAGAGCACACCCCATTTTCCCTAGCGCATATGCATTTCATTGTTGCACAAGCACTCTCACATATTCCTGCATATAGATGAGGGTAACTTCTAGAAGAGGTAGCAGCACCATCATGTTAGGAACAAGATGCTCTGAGCTATCACCCTCCATTTCTGATAGGGGACACTTGAAAATACAGGTTGAACTTCTATAATCTAGACCTCCCTTGTCAGGTAACATCTGTAGCCTGGCAATTGTGGATGAGCAAGGGCTGGAGCACTGACAAGGAGAAGATGAGGCCCTGCACTCAGCAACTCCTTTCCTCTGCCCTCCCAGAACACTGCAAATAGCTGATTTGTGGTGTTGAAGCTTAGCATGTTTCAGTTGCTACCTGAAGGAGTCCATTCGTGGCAATTTCTCACTTGTTTTATTCTTAGCAAACATTATCCAGAGATGGTTTGCTTATCACAGTACAATAAACACATCAGTAAGGCACAGACAGACTCTCTCTGAGCTGGACTGATCCCAAGATGAGTGAACTCAGGGCCGGCTTTAGGCCGATTCCCCCGAATCGGGCCCTGCAGCCTAAAGCCATGGTCACCAACCGGTCGATCGTGATTGACCGCAAGCCTCGACCAGTCGATCGCAAGGCATTCGGGCCCCCCCACTCTCCATTTTTCCCCCGCCCCACTACCTATCTCCAGCATAGTGCCGGCTTCCCACGGGGTGGACGGAAGTCCTGCCTGCAGCTTCGCGCCACTTCCAGGGGCGGAAGTGTGCTGGCTGCTCCCTTCCCACAGTCTGTGGCATGCTGCAGGAGGGGGCATTAGCCCCGGAGGAGGAGTGTGGCAGCTTCCCTGCACCGTGGGGGGAGAGGAGGGGATGGGCCCCGGGGCAGGCACGCGCAGGGGTTTGGCCCCAGGGCAGGCAGGACATGACTCTGCCCTGTAGCTAGGGATTTAAAGGGGTTGTGACTCGTGTCTGTGCAGGGTGCGGGGTTTTTTTTTTTGCTGAACAAAAAATCCTGGCTGCTGGGTCCCCGTCGAAACTGTTCGAATTAGGCCCTGCACTTCCTAAAGCCAGCCCTGAGTGAACTATGGGTACTCCTGAATCAGAATTACATTATGCTATATTATGAAACATATCCATTCCCAGCTCCACAGCCTCTTTATGCATGGGAATGAATATATTCCTTTTGTGAACACCACTTTTGAAATAGAATTCATTTCCCCTAAGAACACAGCAATATCTTGGCAACACAGATGCAACAACTAGATATAAACTTCACATTAGCGCCTTATTTGCTTTGCATGAACAACGTCCAACAACGTGTTTATCTGATTCCTTGTGATCTGCCTTGAGTTCTGGTAGTATTGCAAAATGGTTGTCAGACTCCACTTTTACTGCTTGTAAGATGCCATGAAACCTACCAAGAAAGGTATACTTCACAACCAGGTAACAATCTGTATTAATACTTAATAATTCAGTCACTGAGAAGAAAGCCTGTAATTTCTGATTTATTCTTTGAATGTCTTTAAGCATTGGTTTGGAAATGGTACTAACGGAGCGGGGTTTCAAACTTCTTGCATTTGTACATTTCCCCCTGAGGTTTCTCTCACCAGATGACTGATTCTTCATCTGCATACTTGTCACCAACAAAAGCAGTGTCTTGACATTTTAATCAAAGGATACAGTTCAGCAGCTGATCAAACCGTCCCAATTTTACACTTGGTAGTATCAGTGCACACCATCTGCAAAAACATGAGGTCAACAAATAGCTAATGTTGATTCAAAAGCTGACAGTAGCTCAGCCACTGACTTTTCTAGATGGTGAATTGCTTTTTTGGGTCTTTCTTAGAGATTTATGCAAATTGAAGAAGGAAATTGGGAGCACTTCCAGCCAATGTGCCTGCTAATCTTTCCCATCCACATGTGGCTTTTTCCCATCCAAGGGTGAAATAAATTTTTGTGCGCACCATCAGTAGATGCAAAAAACTGAGCTGTGGGTATTTAGCTCACGCCTGAGCAGCTGCTCCTGTGCACAGCTTACAGCAATGGTGGGCAATCTGCAGCTCAAGGGCTGCATGCAGCCCATCAGGGTTCTATGTGTGGTCCACGAGCCATTTTGTTTACTGTTTCCCACATACAGGGTTGCCAGATTCCATTGTTTTTTGTCCATAGTTTTTCCTACCAATATCACTAAAGTGACATGCACATAAAGCAAGGGCAAGTTAAGTGAGGTGCATGCTGATTGCACAAAACACTGATTGTGAGAGCTGTATGCTCCCTCTTCATCCAATCAAAGCACTGCTATGGTTCAATCAGCACACCCCAAAAAATGTACTACACAAAGCAGTTAGCAGAACTACCTTATTCCAGGAAACCGTCTTGGTTCCAACAATTTTGTGGCCCACTCATAAGCCCAGGTTGCCTATTTCTGGCTCACAGGGAACATTGGTGCCAGCTCATAGTTCACCACACACTTGATATCAACATCTCTGGACTTGGCAAGTGCTGCTAGCTTGCTGAATATCTGACCATCAATAGTTCTTGTTTGTGCTGTCCTGCTGCTGCTTGATTGGTTTGTTGCGATTACCAAATGATCTGAGATTATATCTTTTTATGGGATCAAAGAGGCCTACTTCACCTTCTTGCACTCAATGTGTTAAAAACTAATTCTTTTACTCTATTCTCTTATTATGTACAAACTTTCAGCAGTTTCTGGTGGAGCCACAGTAGATATTGCAATGTACACAAGGAGCTGTCTGTTGTGTAGGCTTGTTCCAGGTTGAGTGCTAAAAGAATGTGCCATTCTTTTAGTCATGTTTGTAATATCTTGGACATTTTCATTAGCAACCATGCATTCTGTAGTTGTTTCTTTATGGAGACCTGTCTCTGAAGCTGAATTCCACACATTTTTGTTGTAGCTATTAATGAGTCAAGTAACACTTGGTCAAAACCTTCTCTTCCATTCCAAGATGCAGATGCTTTCCATAACCCTTGTTAGGAGATTGCTCAATGGCCACACCAAGCCATATACCACTAAAAGATCAGGCAAACCAGTAAACTTCTCCCTGACTATCAATTAAGGTCTGATATATATCTAGCTTCTCCTTCTCCAGAAATCTGTCTTCTGCTACATTTACACAATCCCATCTAAAACAGTTCACATGACCACTTGGAAGTCAAGCGTAATCATCTCTATGAATGTGTGAACCTGTTACCATTTCTCTTTGCTTCTATGTAATTCATCAGTAGTTGGACAAAATCCATTATACGGTTTTGCCAGAACAGAAGTATATTTGAACAATTTTTCCCTGGGTAAGGTAAGTGTCCATGAACTGGCAGAGTGATTGAATGCTGGTCATGAAGTCTGTCATGGCATTTTAAATACTGATAACGTTTTATCATTAGAAGATAATGATAATGTCTTAGCTGCACAACTTTATATAGTCAAAAACCCTTCTCAAATCAATCCATTCTACAAATGAAGACAAATATTTAGAAGTATTTCTTGGTACAGACTAGCCCATAATGTTATATGCAAACAAACTTTTGCTTTAACCAAAGGCAAAGTACAGTAGACTTCCGATAATCCGGAACCTATGGGAACTAGGTGGTGCCGGATTATCAAATATGACGGAGTATCAGGAGGTACTATAAGCTGGTTATGAATATACTGCATACAGTATATACTGTATATAAAGCAAAATGCAGGACAATGTAGCACTTTAAAGACTAACAAGATGGTTTATTAGATGATGAGCTTTCGTGGGCCAGACCCACTTCCTCAGATCAAATAGTGGAAGAAAGTAGTCACAACCATATATACCAAAGGAAACAATTTTAAAAAATGAACAAATATGAAAAGGACAAATCACATTGCAGAACAGAAGGAGGATGCGGGGGGGTGACCATCTTGTTAGTCTTTAACATTTTTTGCCGAAGCTCACTCACTAGGCTCTTGCCATTTTGATGCCGGACTATCAGGAGTGCCGGACTATTGGATGCTGGACTATTGGAGTTTTACTGTAGTATGGGAAAATGAATAAAATGTGTCACTTGGGACTAAATATTTCCCAAGCTTTCCAAAACAGTAGTATTTTTTGAGTACACAGCTGCATTATCAATTGTTTTCTGCCAATTTTGGTCACAGATAGTTTCTTTGAGTTATGGCCCTTTTTGTGACTTTATTATTTTTTTTTTCAGTTTGGAGGTTGACAATGTGATATAGAAAAAAAACGGTGATATAGAAAAAAACTGGACCATTTTCAGACTCTATATTTTTACATAATGACCACTAGATAGGTACCTAAAAAGTGATAGCAATGAAGCTTCTCTAGATTATGGGTTTTGCTTTCGTGCCCAAAATGAGTCTGAGGTGGCAGACTACATCTTTTCCTGCCCTAATCAGCCTTATTGAGCAACAGCAACAGTGGAGGAAGTTCATGCCCCCCATGGCCGGCAGGAAAGTTCAATAAAACTGCTAGAGAGATAAGATGACAAAATAATGGAAACAAAGCTAAAATTAAACAAAACGTTAAAAAAAAAAGAAAGCCAACATTTATTCTATACTTACTTTCTAAAGAAATACAACTCATAATAGGATATAATCTTTCCATAAACTTCAGATATCATATACAACAGACATTAAAACCTACTGTCAATGTTAGAAAAATGTGGAAATGTAAATATTGTAATATTGCGACGGAAAAATTTCAGAGAGGTAGCCGTGTTAGTCTGTAACTTTAAAAACGAGTAGACCTTAGAAACTAACAAAAATATATAGAATTGTTAATCACAAAAGCTCATTTTTCTATATATTTTTGTTAGTCTCTAAGGCGCCACAGGACTACTTGTTTTTGTAACTGAAAACATGTCAGATACTGTCAGATACTTTTTGTTAAATAAATGCTACTATAGCAAATGTTTTAAGTTATAGCTAATAAGCTGACAAATATAAAATATAACAATTTGTGATTCATGATCAATGTACAATATAATCACTTTATATACAATTTCTTTCACATCTTTCTAAATATAGTATTTTTAATTACAGGAAAACCAATTGCTTCTTATATTCATTAGAAATAGAAAGGATACAATAATGTGTCGATCTGATGGATTCCTCTGACGTGTCCTTTCCAGTTGAGATAACTGCTTAGCTTCTCGATTCTTTGCTGTTAAAGTTGCTTTGAGATCATCCTGCAAATATATTTATAACAATTTAGTATATGGTGAAATAGAACTAGGGGTGTATGAAATACACTTGTCTGCATTTATGAGTTGTCCAGAAAACTTACAAATGTTTTGCTCTAAACCCAGTTTTTTATGGGTGAATCCTGTGAAATGAGGAGCACTTCCTCAAAAAGACATCAATGGGCACTCGGTGTGTTTAGCACCTTGCAGGATTGGACCTCAGGCTGTGCCATTTTTTAAATGTTTAGATGGAAAAATGAGAATAAAATCACTATTTTTAAAAGAAGAGTTTATTAGATGGCCAAAAAGCCACAATTCCGCAATCAAGAAAGAGGTCAACTTTGCTAAAAACCCATGCTGGTTCAGTGGCAAAGTGTAGCCATCATTTAGAAATAAAAAAGCAATATATGACAAATAGAAAAAGAAGAAATAGCAATCAATATAAATTAAAAGTATGAATTATAGGAGATTGATAAGGGAAGCTAAAAAAATCAGGGAAAACCCATGGCTGGCAGAACTAGCGTTTTAAAAGTACATTAGGAACAAAAGAAAGCCTAGCAATGCGATAGGTCCCATGCTGGATGAAATGGTAAAAATGTTACTAATGATGCAGAAAAGGCAGATGTGCTCAATAAATATTTCTGTTCTGTATTTGGAAAAGCAACAGAATAATATACTTATACAATATGAGAATGATGAAGTACTTTACAGTCTGTTAATTACAGAGTAGTATGTTAGACAATGCCTACTCAGGATAAATATATTACAATTAGCTGGCCTGAGTAACTTGCGCCCAACAATCCTAGAAGAGTTAGTTGAGGTGATTAAGTATCCCACTGATGTTAATTTTTAGTAAATTTTGGAATTCAAGGGCAATTACAGAGCACTGGAAGAAGACTGTTGTGCCTATATTCAAAAAAGGCAAGCAGGATGATATAGGAAATTATAGGCTGGTTAGCCTGATGTCAAGAGAGAACAGAAGCCTAAGTTAGATTCAATTAATAAAAGAATTCAAGAATAGGAATACACTTAATGAAAGTCAACATAATTTTAAAGAAAGCAAGTCTTGTCAAACAAACCTTATTTAATTCTTTGAGGAGATTATAAATTTGGTTGATAAACATGCTGTGTAGGTATAACAATTAACTTAGTATTGCACAACATTCGGATTAAAAGCTAGGCACTATAAAATATCAAGAGATCATATGTTAAATGGATTAAGAACTAGCTACCTGACAGATTTCAAAAAGTAGTTGTCAATGGGCAATCATCAGTAAATGGGGATTTTTCAAGTGAGAGTCTCCTGGAATACGTATAACAGTAGGCCTAATGCTATTTCAACATTTTCATCAATGCTCTGGAAGTAAATATAAAATCACGCCTGAAAGTTTCCAGATGACACACTGACTTTTTAAAATTCAAATTAAATTAGTTAAAATCTGAAGGGGTAATTCACTTAACACAGTGAAGTCTTTCTATTTCCTATATACAGAAATGCAGTTCTTTTCCTAAAGCATTTGCAAACAAGTTTTAACATATCTCCTAGACATCATTGTCGAGGCTTGGACCCCATCCTCTTAGTTGTTTCCTGAAATGTATCTGCTTCATATATGTCCCCAGATGCAATTCCAATGTACTGTTGTGAGTTACATACCTATATCTTTGTTGCAATAACTATTTTAATAGGAAATAGTTAAATAATTTGGTATGCTTAACAAGCTTCACCAAAATGACTATAAGAATACACTAAAGTTTGAGAAAAAATACATTATATTGTACCTACCCTTTTAAGTTTTACTATGGTCCCATAACTTTTCAAAGGATCAACAACTTTGGCTTCAAGCCTTTCAACCTAGGGAAAAAAGTCAAGTTACCCAAGTCCTCTGCATAGTAAATCTATCGCTAGAAAACTGACTACTGTAAGAGTAATGTTGAGACTACTAGGATTTTAATCATATTCATGGATGAAAAAGTGACGGTGGAGATTGAATACATAGGCAGAAGCAATAGAACTAATCAAGTCATATTGATCTTGATATATCCCTAATGTAAATTGTACAAGGAGTAAGGGAAGTCGGGAGAAGAGTGCTCCCGATATATCCCTAATGTAAATTGTACGAGGAGTAAGGGAAGTCGGGAGAAGAGTGCTCCAGCTTGAAATAACTTGTGTAGATAGCGCCAAAATTCACAATAAGCTATTTCGACTTAAGCTACACAATTAGCGTAGCTTAAATTGTGTATCTTATTTTGAGTTTAGCGCTGCTGTGTAAACATGCCCTTAGATCAGTGGTTCTTAACCTGGGGTGCATGCAGCCCCTGGGGGTGCAAAACAAGCCAGATTTTTATGACGTATCTTAGGTTTAAAGAACTGACCTACTTCAATGATTTTTAATAAGGGGTGAGAAAACATATTTTGAGAACCAAAGGGGTGCAGGCTGCAGTAAGGTTAAAAACCACTGCCTTAGAGACAAGCTCTCATACCAACAGAAGTTGGCTCAATAAAAGATATTACAGACTGGACCTCACTGATCCAGCACTCTTGGAACCTGAGCAGTCCCAAAGGCCCTAGGCTCCATGAGGTGCTGCTACTTTGAAACACCCCCTCTAATTCCCCCGCCCTTGCTGCCACAGAATATTATATCAAGTGACCAGCCTGACATAGAAGAGAAGACTCCTTCTCTCCATGCAAGAACTGAAATGGCATTGTGAACAAGGGGCAGACACTACAGAAAGAGTTTTAAGGACTTTGAAACTAACCAGGGTCTTGTATAGCAGTTAAGTATCACCCGGTAAGCATACAATAAGCTGCTTATTATTTCTGATATGTATTCAGTGTAAATCATTTGTTCTAAACAAGCTGTGCTGGTTACTTGTCTATCCTGTCATTAACTCTGGATGAGAACAGAACAGCAGGTTTTGAACTAGTATCTCTCTGCTCACCCATTGCAGCTAAATCCCTGAACCCAAATGTAGCAAATGACATTTGGAAAAAAACACTTTTATAAAAAATTCTTTCTAAAGAAAATGGAGCATGTTGTCCATTGCATGCCAGATTGTAAAGATTGGACAGGCAGAAATTACTTAATTAAATTCACTAAATTTGGGAATAAAAAAATGTCACAGCTTGAAATAACTTGTGTAGATAGCGCCAAAATTCACAATAAGCTATTTCGACTTAAGCTACACAATTAGCATACCCGGAAGTATGTCAAGTTTGCAAAAACTTAACATGCCCTTAGATCAGTGGTTCTTAACCTGGGGTGCATGCAGCCCCTGGGGGTGCAAAACAACGGTTCTCTTAAAACTAGTTTATCAAATAGTCAGAAGTAAAAGGGAAACTCACTTGTCCAGCTATCTAGAAAAGGAATGTGTGTGTGTGTGTGTGTGTACACACGTACATACACATGCAAGTTTTTATACTATAGTAATTAAAATGTATTTTTAGATAAGGGTGGTCTTTTGAAAAATTAATAAAAAATGTGTCTGAAGAGCCAAATATTTGAGGCTAAAGCTGAATCCTCAGATTGTGCATCTAAATTATTTTTTAGAGATGTGATTTTATAATCTTCAGCCAGAAACTAATGAAATATTAAAGCAAATTTTAAACTAATGACATAGTAATGCACAACTATTTTTGTCCGTAAATAGGGTTGGCACATGCCTGTTAAATGGTTTCATTATCACTTAATGGTTCTTTCCTAGGTTCAATGTTATAATAATAGATCTGGTAAACTGGAAGGTTTTTCAATTTTAAATTAATAGATTCATTTCTGGGGAAGAGTCACCAGTCTGCAAGGTGCAACCCAGGGGAGATATTGCCTCCCCTTGCCTGTTACACCTGTCACCCATGATCATCACAGTGATTTGCAGGAATTACAGCATAAATTCCTGGTCTGAAGTGAGAGGAATGTGGGTTTCCACCCTGAGAAAAGGTGACAAAGACTGACCCGAGTGTGGTTCCCTCAAGGAGACCAAGAAGGGGTCAGAAATGCAATTATCTTGGGAACTGTAACAATTAGATTCTAAAGGGTATTTAGATGCCAAAGTCACTGAAATCAATGGTAATTAAGCATCTCGGTGCTTCTAAAAATCACACTAGGTATCTATCTGCATCTCTAGACAACTAAATACCCTTAAAATCTGGGCCTAAATACACTGTGAAAGGTGCATAGGATTCATATTTTCAATTGCCCTGAGTTAAAAGGTCTATATCTCTTAAAGGCAAATGTAAAAAAGATTTATATTTTTTTCTTTTGTTTCTTAATGTACACAGATGACTTTAAAGGGTTGAGTTTTTAATTTTTTTTCCACTTTTTTTTCCCCATTATAAAAACAGCATGTCAAATAAAAAAAGAAGAATGTCAAAAAAAGAATGTCAAATATTGTATTCCACTTTTCAGTTAAGAGTACTCCATCGTGACAAATGTAAAGCACAGCATTATGAACTCCTTATAAATAAATAGGTGTTAGCATAATACAAAAATTTTAAACAAGATAAAGAGAAATCCACTGCATTCTAATTATGCCCCAATCCTATGATTAGATTCATGTGGATGGGCCTTTTGCACATGTGGACACACAATGAAGTCAGTGGAACTTCATGCTAGTTCCAGGGCTGATCCTTGCAGATTCCACTGTGGTTTCAACACCTCTCTTCCTTGATATGTTTGATGTCAACAACTTACCCATATTCCAGCTATTGACAATAACTTGTGACAAAGTGAACGATACTTGAAGGACAGCCCAATTCACAAAACCAAAAACCAAGCATTTATTAAGCATAATCTACAGCTCAATAAATTCCATTGGCTCTCTTCTCATCTCCACTGAAGACCAGTTCTTTAAAACATGAGTGTAGCTACTCAGGGGGACAATTCACTAGGCATGAAGATAAGAATGGGCATAAGGCAATTCACAATTTGGTCTTAGGTCTTCAGAAATGTCATAGTAGGGTAATCTATGAAAGCTAGTGGGGGCTTATTTTGCTTTGTTACTAACACATTTATTACTAATGCATTTAAAAGTGGTGTTTCCTCAGTCTTTGGAGACAGACAAGGTATATATTATGATAATTATATTAAAAAGATCAGTTTACAAGCACAACATGCAATTCTTTACCTCTGCTTGGCGATAATCTTGAAGTTTGGCAAATTCATCTGCAAAATTCTTCAATCCAAGTTTTAAGCTTGGTGTCTCTGTAGCTGCATATGCATATATTTCGTTTACTAGAAGGTCTGCTTTGTCTCGTAGTCTAGCAGTTTTACGCACATATGCTGCAAATATTTGGCACAATTCACCAAAATGTTTTTCCACATTTGAAACAGCCTCTCGTACTTGTCTAGTCTGATTGTCCCTAGAGACCAAGGAAAAATGAGAAAAAAGCAAAAGCCCAACATAATTACAATACATACAGATTAAACAAGCTTGACAGTACTGTCATCACTATTTCATAAACAACATATTTCAAATTGGTCATTTTACTTCTGGGCAAAATGGAAAGTAGAGGAAAATTATGCTTAATTCCAAGGTGATGTATAAAAATACAAATACAATAATAAAACTTGAGATTTGGTTTTCAGCTTAAAACTCATCAAACTGAATTTTAAAAAGTAAAAATGCAATAAGACCCAAACCAGATACAGCTACATACTTAAGAAAATTTTAATAAAACTCCCATGGAGTTAGATGCTTTGGGAATCTCAAAGGTTATTTATCTGCATCTTTAGACACTTACATACATTTAAAAATCTGGCCTGAATTTTGTTAAATGTACAAATAATATACTGAAAGACTAACTTTTTAGTAAGTGCAAGTCAGTTGTAAATATTGTAAACAGCCCTTCTGTATTACATTTTCTTCATCAGTATTTCTAAGCTGATTTTATGTTTTAAATATATTATTAAGCCTTTATTACTATAAAGTAATAATTCCAGATTATTATATATTTAAATTCACAGAAACAAATATATTATTTTAAATTAATCAGTCAGAGCAGTTTAGTGTGTTCATAGCAAAGCTCATGGCTTTTAGAAAAAGGGAACACTAATTTACTTCCTATGATTTTCATAAGACATGTTTATGAAATTTCACTATGTTTATCTTAAATTATGTTTCCAAAGATTTTAGGCAGATCAAAAGATTTTATATCTTACTAAGGTACTGATTTTGGTGGACGGTTCTCTTAAAACTAGTTTATCAAATAGTCAGAAGTAAAAGGGAAACTCACTTGTCCAGCTATCTAGAAAAGGAATGTGTGTGTGTGTGTGTGTGTACACACGTACATACACATGCAAGTTATTAAGCCTTTATTACTATAAAGTAATAATTCCAGATTATTATATATTTAAATTCACAGAAACAAATATATTATTTTAAATTAATCAGTCAGAGCAGTTTAGTGTGTTCATAGCAAAGCTCATGGCTTTTAGAAAAAGGGAACACTAATTTACTTCCTATGATTTTCATAAGACATGTTTATGAAATTTCACTATGTTTATCTTAAATTATGTTTCCAAAGATTTTAGGCAGATCAAAAGATTTTATATCTTACTAAGGTACTGATTTTGGTGGACGGTTCTCTTAAAACTAGTTTATCAAATAGTCAGAAGTAAAAGGGAAACTCACTTGTCCAGCTATCTAGAAAAGGAATGTGTGTGTGTGTGTGTGTGTACACACGTACATACACATGCAAGTTTTTATACTATAGTAATTAAAATGTATTTTTAGATAAGGGTGGTCTTTTGAAAAATTAATAAAAAATGTGTCTGAAGAGCCAAATATTTGAGGCTAAAGCTGAATCCTCAGATTGTGCATCTAAATTATTTTTTAGAGATGTGATTTTATAATCTTCAGCCAGAAACTAATGAAATATTAAAGCAAATTTTAAACTAATGACATAGTAATGCACAACTATTTTTGTCCGTAAATTATCTTAAATTATGTTTCCAAAGATTTTAGGCAGATCAAAAGATTTTATATCTTACTAAGGTACTGATTTTGGTGGACGGTTCTCTTAAAACTAGTTTATCAAATAGTCAGAAGTAAAAGGGAAACTCACTTGTCCAGCTATCTAGAAAAGGAATGTGTGTGTGTGTGTGTGTGTACACACGTACATACACATGCAAGTTTTTATACTATAGTAATTAAAATGTATTTTTAGATAAGGGTGGTCTTTTGAAAAATTAATAAAAAATGTGTCTGAAGAGCCAAATATTTGAGGCTAAAGCTGAATCCTCAGATTGTGCATCTAAATTATTTTTTAGAGATGTGATTTTATAATCTTCAGCCAGAAACTAATGAAATATTAAAGCAAATTTTAAACTAATGACATAGTAATGCACAACTATTTTTGTCCGTAAATAGGGTTGGCACATGCCTGTTAAATGGTTTCATTATCACTTAATGGTTCTTTCCTAGGTTCAATGTTATAATAATAGATCTGGTAAACTGGAAGGTTTTTCAATTTTAAATTAATAGATTCATTTCTGGGGAAGAGTCACCAGTCTGCAAGGTGCAACCCAGGGGAGATATTGCCTCCCCTTGCCTGTTACACCTGTCACCCATGATCATCACAGTGATTTGCAGGAATTACAGCATAAATTCCTGGTCTGAAGTGAGAGGAATGTGGGTTTCCACCCTGAGAAAAGGTGACAAAGACTGACCCGAGTGTGGTTCCCTCAAGGAGACCAAGAAGGGGTCAGAAATGCAATTATCTTGGGAACTGTAACAATTAGATTCTAAAGGGTATTTAGATGCCAAAGTCACTGAAATCAATGGTAATTAAGCATCTCGGTGCTTCTAAAAATCACACTAGGTATCTATCTGCATCTCTAGACAACTAAATACCCTTAAAATCTGGGCCTAAATACACTGTGAAAGGAGCATAGGATTCATATTTTCAATTGCCCTGAGTTAAAAGGTCTATATCTCTTAAAGGCAAATGTAAAAAAGATTTATATTTTTTTCTTTTGTTTCTTAATGTACACAGATGACTTTAAAGGGTTGAGTTTTTAATTTTTTTTCCACTTTTTTTTCCCCATTATAAAAACAGCATGTCAAATAAAAAAAGAAGAATGTCAAAAAAAGAATGTCAAATATTGTATTCCACTTTTCAGTTAAGAGTACTCCATCGTGACAAATGTAAAGCACAGCATTATGAACTCCTTATAAATAAATAGGTGTTAGCATAATACAAAAATTTTAAACAAGATAAAGAGAAATCCACTGCATTCTAATTATGCCCCAATCCTATGATTAGATTCATGTGGATGGGCCTTTTGCACATGTGGACACACAATGAAGTCAGTGGAACTTCATGCTAGTTCCAGGGCTGATCCTTGCAGATTCCACTGTGGTTTCAACACCTCTCTTCCTTGATATGTTTGATGTCAACAACTTACCCATATTCCAGCTATTGACAATAACTTGTGACAAAGTGAACGATACTTGAAGGACAGCCCAATTCACAAAACCAAAAACCAAGCATTTATTAAGCATAATCTACAGCTCAATAAATTCCATTGGCTCTCTTCTCATCTCCACTGAAGACCAGTTCTTTAAAACATGAGTGTAGCTACTCAGGGGGACAATTCACTAGGCATGAAGATAAGAATGGGCATAAGGCAATTCACAATTTGGTCTTAGGTCTTCAGAAATGTCATAGTAGGGTAATCTATGAAAGCTAGTGGGGGCTTATTTTGCTTTGTTACTAACACATTTATTACTAATGCATTTAAAAGTGGTGTTTCCTCAGTCTTTGGAGACAGACAAGGTATATATTATGATAATTATATTAAAAAGATCAGTTTACAAGCACAACATGCAATTCTTTACCTCTGCTTGGCGATAATCTTGAAGTTTGGCAAATTCATCTGCAAAATTCTTCAATCCAAGTTTTAAGCTTGGTGTCTCTGTAGCTGCATATGCATATATTTCGTTTACTAGAAGGTCTGCTTTGTCTCGTAGTCTAGCAGTTTTACGCACATATGCTGCAAATATTTGGCACAATTCACCAAAATGTTTTTCCACATTTGAAACAGCCTCTCGTACTTGTCTAGTCTGATTGTCCCTAGAGACCAAGGAAAAATGAGAAAAAAGCAAAAGCCCAACATAATTACAATACATACAGATTAAACAAGCTTGACAGTACTGTCATCACTATTTCATAAACAACATATTTCAAATTGGTCATTTTACTTCTGGGCAAAATGGAAAGTAGAGGAAAATTATGCTTAATTCCAAGGTGATGTATAAAAATACAAATACAATAATAAAACTTGAGATTTGGTTTTCAGCTTAAAACTCATCAAACTGAATTTTAAAAAGTAAAAATGCAATAAGACCCAAACCAGATACAGCTACATACTTAAGAAAATTTTAATAAAACTCCCATGGAGTTAGATGCTTTGGGAATCTCAAAGGTTATTTATCTGCATCTTTAGACACTTACATACATTTAAAAATCTGGCCTGAATTTTGTTAAATGTACAAATAATATACTGAAAGACTAAAGAGGTTTTTTTTCATTGGTTTTAACTTTATTTAAATGACAGAACTTTGGGTATAATCATTTCCAGTGCTTCTTTTGTATTGTTAGACTATTTCTCCTGTTTTAATGCATGTTTTTCACACACCATTAGATGCGGAAAATGTATTTTAAAATAGAAAAATATGAATGCAAACCCCACAGAAATCTCTGAGGTGGGCAAAGCACCAGAAAACTTTCTTAAAATAGATTTTGAACTGATTGTATACCTTTGAAAATATTGTCTTAAATATAAGGCTCTCTCAAGTCCATCTTTATTCCCTAATGTAAACCAGGGATAAGTATTTTGAAATAACGCCCCTTATTTCAAAGTAAGTGCAGTGTCCAACTACCAAGCCTGTTTATTTGAATTAGCAGGTTGGTTATTTTGAAATAACAACTCCTGCTTGTCATGAGGAATAACACTTATTTCAAAATTGCAGCTGGGGAAGCTCATGGTAGCAAAGCCTACAATGAGGAGGTCATCGTCCCTCCAGTGCGATGACCCTCCATAGCAGGATGGTGTTGATGGCCTTCACTACCTGGATGAGCACGGCCCCAATCATGGATTTCCCCATACTGAATATTTTCCCTATGGCACGGTAGCTCTCCAGTGTTTCAAGCTTCCAGAGGGCAATGGCGATGTACTTCTGCAGTGGAATGGCGGGTCTCATGAAGGAGTCCCATCACCTGAGGGAAGGGGTGTGCCATTTGCAGAGCTCCAGGAAGGTGGCCTTCCACATGCAGAAGTTCTGGAGTCACTACTGGACGTCCCATCGCTGCAGGATGATGTGGAACTGGTCTTCCTCCGCGTTGTTGCAGTATGCAGGGGATGGAAGACCATTAGGTGTATTAGGAGCGCAAGGGCCTGGGTGAAGAGGCCTCCTGGTCCAGGCTGCTCATTGTGGTCCTGAATCAGCACGTGGGCAGTGTGGATCAACTGTTCCATGAGGTGCAGCATGAGGCCCATGAGCCTGGCACTGCTTTGCAGCAGCTGTGGCTCCATGCAGTCAGTGCTGTGGCGTCTGCAAGGGCAACCAGAGGACATGGCGTGAGCTTGGTGACCTGCAAGGGGGTAGGCAGTGGAGAAGTGGCATGTGAGATGTAGCTGGAAAGCGGAGCTCCTTTAAGCATGTATCTCTGCTAGCCTCAGCAAGCAGCCACAGGAAGCGTCCTCTCTCCTGGTGCCCTCTCTGGAATGCTTCAGGGGGCTTTAATTGCAATACAGGCACCAATCAGTGTGGATATGCTATTTCGAAATAATTCTGTGCTATTTTGATGCTGCCTTGTAGTGTGGACTGGACGCGCTATTTCAAAATAGTTATTTCGGGAGTTATTTCAAAATAATTTCCTAGGGTAGACATGCCCTTAGCGTGTACTAAGGCCCCATTCCTGCAATCAAATGTACATAGGTGTAAGCTTCCACTTAGACAAAAAAAGACATTAGTAGGGTTCTGCACTGGCAAAGGGCTCTGCTCATGCTGATTGCAAGATCAGTGCCTTAGTTTTAATGGTTCTAACTTTCACTAGAGGTGAATCATAATTCTAAAAATAAAATCTGGCATATTATTTAAACAAAGCAAAAAATAAAAACCTAATTTAAGAAATATTAACAATGCCATCACAATCACCAAGAAAATAGTATCCAATACCAACAACATAGAAAGTTGCAGGATAAAACTCTGGTGTATAAAATTGTAGATGAGCCTTTTGTTAGGTGGATTGGTGGGAGGAGGAGTACAGAAAAATAACTTGGCCAACAGAACTCAAATGCTATGAACACTAGAGCTCAGGAAGTCCCTGAAGCAAGTACTTTCTCCTTTTAACCTCCTCAGAGTTCGTAAGTGTGGTCTCATGAATAGGATTTAGGTTGTCAATAACATGCAAGGTAAATTTTCCACATATGTACATCTTTGACTCAATGTATTAACCAAAAGAAAATAACATATATGTAAATTATTTTAATTGGTTATATACATGAGTTATATTCAAGACACAAGAAATCGTTCTTCCGCCTTCGTTGGAGTATTGTGTCCAGTTCTGGACACCACATTTCAAGAAAGATGTGGAGAAATTGGAGAAGGTCCAGAGAAGAGCAACAAGAATGATTAAAGATCTAGAGAACATGACCTATGAAGAAAGACTGAAAGAATTGGGCTTGTTTAGTTTGGAAAGGAGAAGACTGAGAGGGGACATGACAGCAGTTTTCAGGTATCTAAAAGGGTGTTACAAGGAGGAGGGAGAAAAAATGTTCTCCTTGGCCTTTGATGATAGGACAAGAAGCAATGGGCTTAAATGGCAGCAAGGGAGGTTTAGGTTGGACAGTAGGAAAAACTTCCTGTCAGGGTGGCTAAACACTGGAATAAGTTGCCTAGAGAGGTTGTGCAATCTCCATCTCTGGAGATATTTAAGAGCAGGTTAGACAGACATCTATCAGGGATGGTCTAGACGGTACCAGATCCTGCCGTGAGGGCAGGGGACTGGACTAAATTACCTCTTGAGGTCCCTTCCAGTTCTAGTGTTCTATGATTCTATGTTCTGCTTTTTATATATAGGATTTTAATACTAATATCATAGCTATGCGTTTGCATAAAAGTTATTAATTAGGAAACTCAAGTTAGTGATGGGTTTAGGGTAGGACTTAAAATTTCAGCGTCCAACCAAAACCTGGATATTTTATACTTATTAATCTCATTAAACCATTTGATAAATTGAATTCAAGACTTATTTAGTTGGCATTCATATTTTGCTTGATACTTCAGTCTCCTCCTCCTCTCTGTTTAATTAGTGCCTTCAGTTTATGGTTTCACCTCTGCATCACATGTATCACAACGTCAGCAGCATTATATTGCTACTGTCAGCACAATTCTACTGCTATTGAAGTTCACAGATTCTCAACACATTCATTCTACTGTTTGGTGCCCACAGCAATTCGCTACAGGCCAAATTCTGCAAATGTTAATGATCAATTGCAGAGTTCTGTAAGAAGTTCCACTGACTCCATAAAACTACTCAAACACTGTGCTCGGTAGGGTACAGAAATTCAGGTGATATGTTATTAGTAAGATGGACAAGATCCTTAGCTTGGAATTTGCTCACTTCTCACTTATTTGGCACTATAAATTAAAACTTTAATTTGTGTGAGTTGCCTTCAGATTCTGAAAGCCTGAAATGATCCTGGCTTTTAATTTTGACCAATGTAACCAACCCTCCAAACTAGTGATTTTCAACTTTTTGGCCTACACCCTGCTCAACGTACACCTTTCCACAGACCACCATTCAGCCATCAATGATGGAAAAATGCCTTTGCTTATCTCTAAAAAACTTACATTGGAAATTATTCATATTAGATTACTGGAGCATACAAAGGTAAATAAGCAGCTATAACACAAGGAAGCATTTATAACAGATAAGAAAGACATATTATTAAGCAAAATCATTAAATAGATTAAGCACTTTATCTTTATCATGTTAGTTTAACAAACTTTGTTTTAAAGACAGTAAAATATTAATTATGTACAAAACAAAAAGGTTTCAACATTGCCATAATTTATTGCAGGGGTGAGGATACTTTTTTGGCTTGGGGCCACTGATCCACAGAAAATCAGTCAGAGGTCACACAAAAGTGAGGAGCAAAAACAACAACAAAAACTCCAACTCAACTGACACTCTCCTCATGCTGCTGCCCCATGGGGGGAGGGAAGGGAGAACCGAGGTTAAGGGTTTCCCACAGACCAGATTAACTTTCCTGGGGTCCTAGGGCTAATAGATTTTGAGAGCCCCCTAAATTCCGGGGTGGGGCCAAAAATGAGGGATTCGGTGTTTGGGAGAATGCTGCCATGGAGCAGGATAGGGATGGGGTGCAGGGTCTGGGTGGGAGGTAGGATGCAGGATCAGGGTGGGGGTATGGCTGGGAGGCTGGGTGCAGGATCTGCCTGAGGGTGGGAGGTAGCGTACAGGGTTCAAAAAAGAGCTAGATGGATGTTAGGTACATCAATAGCTGTTAGCTAGGATGGGTAGGAATGGTGTCCCCAGCCTCTGTTTGTCTGGAAATGGGTGACAGGGGACGGATTACGTGAGGATTACCTGTTGTGTTCCCTCCCTCTGGGTTATCTTGTATTGGCAACTGTTGGTAGACAGGATACAGGACTAGATGGAGCATTGGTCTGACCCAGTATGGCTGTTCTTGTGTTCTTAAATGGCCTGGAGGTGGTCAAGAGGGAGGGAGTAGGAGTGGGCTGGGCATGACGGGGGTGGAGAGGCACTTACCTCGCTATGCACATCCCGCTGCTCCCATTGGCCACCATTCTGGCCAAGGGAAGCATCAGGGAAAGCCTCCAGGCAAGCAGTTTTCTGCACTGACGTTCCCCTAACCAGGGTGAAGA